TAAGATCCACATTTAAAATCAATTGAGTCGAGAGAGAAAGAGAGAGAGAGAGAGAGAGAGAGAGAGAGAGAGAGAAAGAAAGAGAAAGAAAAAGAGAGAGAAAAGTGAAAAGATGGGAAGAAAGAGAAATGAACGAGACAAAGAAGAAAACAAACGAAATCATTAAGATCGGCAACAATAAAGCGATTTCTAAAATTGTCTACTAAAAACCGACCGAAAAACCGCCATCGGAACCGCCGGTAAAGTAGCCAGCGTTCTGTTGCGATATCTGCACCTGGCAGCCTGCAGCGGCTGCGGCCTGTGCCGGGTGGTAGAAGGCTCCAGGCGGTGGTGGCTGGCAATTGGTATCATTATCGTAACTGCTATTATTATTCTAATTATCATCATTATTGTCATTATTATTATCATTATTATCTCAGTCAGAGGAGAGAGAGAGAGAGAAAAAGAGAGGGAGAGAGAGAGAGAGAGATGAAAAAAATAAAGAATGGATACAAGATGAAGAAACGATCAAGAAAAGGAAGAGAGAAGGTAAGAACGAAAAAGAAAATAAAGCGAGAGTAGTAGCGTAAAAACCGAAAATGTCTACAAATAAACTTCCGCCATTAACAATAAATTATAATTAATTAATATAATTAATATTTATATCTATAATAAAACAATTATTCTTACGGGGATCCTGGCCGGGGTGTTGCCGTCAAATCTGGCCCCGGCGTCGAAGCCCCCGTGCACCACAACAGTGGGTGGTGGGACAGCTTGCACGGGCGCTGCATACGACTAATTATGATTAAATATTATAATTATAATTAAATTACAAAGATTATAATTAAATATTATTACATTAATTTAATTAGTTGTGAATAATTTAATTAATTATATAAAAATTATGAACAAATTAAATTTGAATGAGGTAAGGGTGGAGAATGATGGATGAGGAAGTTACCTGCTGGCAGGGCTCAGCTGGAAAAATAAATAAAAATATATTTAACAATAATAATAATAAATCACGATAATTAAAAATATTGAAATAACATTTAGACACGATGAATGAACGACCAGATGGCTCAATGGGTAGAGGCGCCAGGTCCTGCATTGAAGTGACCAGGTTTGAATGCAACATGATCTCAGGCACATAGCATACAGAAAAATGTAGCTACTACTCTTACCACTTACGCACAAAAAAAATTATTCATTAAAACTATTACTTTACCAAAAAAAGAAACCAAAGTTAATAAAATTACCAGAATATGGTGGGGGTGGTTGTGGGCTGTACAGGTACCCGGTGTTATAGGGTGGTTGTGGTGGATACCCCGCATTGAAGGGGGGTTGTTGAGGGGGATAGCCAGCACTGTAGGGGGGCTGTTGGGGCTGGAAAGTTGATGGTGCAGCTTGCCTGGGGTAGCTGCTTTGTTGCGGCAGGCCTTCTTTTTCTTTTTTATTTGGAAGTAAGATTTATGAGTGAGAATTTTTTGAAAAAATATTTCATAATTATCATCATTTACATCATCATCATCATCATCATCATCATCGGTGGTGATAGTAGTAGTAAATGTAGTAGTAGTAGTAGTAGTAGTAGTAGTAGTAGTAGTAGTAGTAGTAGTAGTAGTAGTAGTGGTAGTAGTAGTAGTAGTAGTATCATAATCATCCTCATAATTTTTTAAGCAATTTGTTAAAAGGCATCATACGAAGTGTTTGTATAATGAAAAAATAAATTCAAGGGCTATTTAAACAAGAATAATTTATAAAGTTATATCATGATAGAAAAGCTGAAAGGGAAGAGAGAAAAAATGAGATAGATAGATAGATAGATAGAGAGAGAGAAAGAGAGAGATAGAGAAAGAGAGAGAAAGAGACAAAGATGACACATTAGTAGAAAAAGTTGTAAAACTAGAAAAAAGAGACAGAGAAACAGCAAAAAAACCAAAATTTATTTATTGACTAAACAGCAGTCATTCTGCCATTCATTATCATTCATAAGTCGAGTGTTCATCATTCAAAATTTTTTAACGCTGAGAGTAGAGGAAAATAATCATATGATATTATTGTTATATTATTATATTATATTATAAGAATAATTTAATAATAAATGACAAAAAGAATCGTTGACATTAGAACAATATTACAATATTGAAAATAATTATGATAAGAGAAGTTAATAAGAAAAATAGGTAGTAAAAATATCAAAAGAATCAAGTTGTTGGTTGAAGATACAAGACACAAATTTGCCATCATCTACATTGCTATAAAATCATAATCTAATCTAATCCAATCCAATCAAAATTCGAATCCTTACAAAACACAACACAACATATTTTACTTTATTTATATTTATAATATTGGTTTGTTTGGTTGGTTGGTAATCTTTGATAAACTATTCTAGCAGACATCTACTAACTTTTACACATAATTTGTTTACGTGTTTATTTGTTTGTTTATGGTTTATTGGTTGGTTGGTAACCCTAACTTTTCATTTAATAAAGATCCTATGATGATCTGAAATTCAGATTCAAATTCAAGTTCAGATTCTGAATGCACAAATAAATTTAGTAAAATAAGTAAAAAATACAAACAAATCAATTCAAATTTAATTTTTTAACCTTTCTTCTCTTTTGGTTTCTTAGAAAAAAGCGGCATTTTTTGTGAAAAATTTAAAAATTAATTTAAAATTTTTTCTTATCTTCGAGATCAAAAATCAGAAATTTGACGCGCAATTTGTGACAATTTAACAGGAAAAATCAATTCAGCTTTGGAAAAACCGCTGAAGTTATTTTTATACCTCAAATTATTGCGGTAAAAAGTGGAACATTAACTAGTTATTTATTTAATAAAACATTAACTAATTAATAAATAATTAAAATATAATATTTTAATTGTTATTTTTATTGTTTTGTTATTTTATTTTATTTAAAATAATTGTTTACGCAAAACTGTTTTGCTTAAAAAAGCTTTCAATTTACCTTTTGACCACGTTGAAATTGATTTAAGTCCACCTTTAGTGCCTTGTTTAAAATTTCTATCTGAGAATTTTAAACTTTGTGATATTTTAAAGTTAATTTAAATCATTTTCTTAATTATTTTACGTTTTTTTAAAAACACTTTTATTTTTGATTTTACCTAATATTTAAAAATGAATGCTCACTTTGCTTACATATCCATTTTGATGGTCGTCGTCGGTTTTGTGTTCTACCTAAAAAATGAATTGGACGTCAGTTACGATGGCTTGGAAGCCCTGAAAAGATCTCAGGCGGAAGAAGAAACAAATTTTAAACAAAAGTTAAAGTTTTTCGACAGCAGTTTTGAAAAGTGCAAGATGAAGTTGCAGGACACTGAGCAGAAGCACAAATCAGAGCTTGAATCTCTCAGCAAGAAAGTTGTTGAAGGTAAACAGGCCCTGGAAAAATGCTCCAACGATAAAGTTTGTCTGCAAATTTGAACTTTCTAAATGAAAATTATGTCATTGGTATCATATTGAAGCCTATAGTGATTATTTATTTTCTATAAAGCAATTCTAAAATATATAATTAATAATATATAATATAAATAATGTGTATTTTGTATATTATTTAATTGTTTGTATTGTAAATATAATATGTACATTTAATTTTTCAATTAAATTTCAAATCTTATTTAATTTTCAAATCAAGCAATCCATGGAGCAAAGTTTAAAAAAGGTCCAAACCTCCCTTGATGCCCTACAGCACGAGAGTTCTCACTCTGAGAGGGAGCTTGCAAGTTGCAGGGGCGAGAAGGATCACCTGATCTCGAAGATCAAAGAAGATTCACAGAAGTATGAGACGTGCATGTCGACGAGCGCTCAGTGTGCTGCTGACAAGTCCCACCTGCAGAACGAACATGAGAAGTTGAGAGTTCAGCTGCAGGAGTCAGCAGCAGCATGTGATGGTGCGAAGAACAATGAGGCACAGCTGACAAAC